AATAATAATAATAATAATAATAATAATAATAATAATAATAATAATAATAATAATAATAATAATAATAATAATAATAATAATAATAATAATAAATCAATATCTCTCACAAAGAGGCTAGGATATAGGTGGAATATATTAGTATAAGGGATTGTTTTTGAAATATTATGAAGGAATTTATTCAAAGGAAAGAGGAGCCCTAAAACTATTTAGGCCAAAAGTCATCTGTCAAGACTAAATCAAAGAGGAGCAATAAAACTATTTATTTATAGCTACATCATGGCTACTAAGTTCATTTTTAAAATAGTTACCGTCTTGAGTCCAGATAAACATCAAGGCCAGGAAAAAATAGAGTACAGGTCAATAATATGTGCCAATTCCTTTGCAGATGCACTTGGTAAACAAGGGGTGGGAAGAAATCATTTGCTTTGGGCTACTTTTTACTTTTGTTTTTCTTTGGGGGGAGAGTTAAGAGAGTTTAACTCTTCCCACCATTGTACTTGATTCTTATCTTTTAATAAAAAATTTCTGTTATTGTTAAAAAAAAGTAAGAATAACTCATTGGATAAAGTCTTTGATGATCTTTTCTCCTTTTGCTTTTGATGATATTGTGTAGAAATAGGGGGAGGTGGTCTATTCTTCCTCTAAGAAAGTGGTGGTGAAAAATCCATGGAAACCACCTGATAGGGGAGCTACCAATTTCAACTTTGATGGCAGTAATTTGGGGAATCCAGGTCCATTTGGAATGGGTGGTGAGTTCAGGGATGTACATGGCAGAGTTAATGCAGTGTTCTAAGGTCGAATAGGGATTGGAGATTCTTTTAGAGCAGAACTGCTAGCAGCACTTCAGGGCATCAGTTTGGCAAAGCAAACGAGTGTCAGTACTAATCTGCTTATTGAAGGTGATTCAAAGACTATAGTAATCTGGTTATCCAATGAAGGGAAAGCTTTGTGGACTTGAGAGGAACTTAAGGAAATTATATGACCGACTTTGAATATGGGAGTTAACTTATTGCCAACCCAGGGAGACCTAGTGAGAGCTTAGAGGACTTGGAGTGGAGGGTGGAAGATAGTGTCTTATTGGAATCTTTGGAAAGAAGATTTGAGGCCCAAGAAGTGAGAAATGCAGTATTTTCCATGGATCGAGCTAAAGCTCCTGGGTTTGATGGTTTTTCGATGGCCTTCTATCAAGATTGTTGGGAGATAATTAGAGAGGATTTGTTGGAGGTTTTTGAAGAGTTCTATGAGAGAGGCAAATTTAACTCGGGAGCAAATGCAACTTTTATTGCCTTGGTTCCTAAGAAGGACGCTCTCCAACCAAAGGATTTTAGATCTATAAGCCTGGTGGGAAGCATGTATAAGATCATCTCTAAGGTCCTACCGCTAAGATTAAAAAAGATCCTCCCGTCTCTAATCTCACCGTATCAAGGGGCCTTTGTAGAAGGAAGACAAATTGTAGATCAAATACTTATTGCCAATGAATGTGYTGRGGTGAAGAGGAGGAGAAAGGAAAAGGAGTTGGTTTGCAAATTGGATCTTGAAAAGGCATATGACATGGTGAACTGGGATTTTTTACTAGAGGTTCTCAAGCGGAGAGGGTTTGGGGAGAGATTGTGCAGTTGGGTAAAGGGATGCATTTCTTCATGTCATTTCTCAATATTGGTGAATGGTGTAGCTAGGGGTTTCTTTCCTGCAAAGAGGGGTATTA